GTGTGTGTGTGTGTGTGTGTGTGTGTGTGTGTGTGTGTGTGTGTGTGTGTGTGTTGGCATATTCGCTATACACTCAAAAAAAGCATGAGAGAGAGAGAGAGTCCTCCAGCATGCAGCATGTAAGTGGCGGGGAAGGGCAGGCGCAGGTCTCCAAAAAAAAAGAAAAGGGTAATGTTCTATTGGAATACAAGAGTTTTTCTTTCGAAATCCAAGTAGACAAGGTACCCGTTGTATTCAAATACAAAGGGTATTCAAAGTGCTCTTCTACTCAAGAAAAGTGGACCCACGCCATTTCTATTTCGAAATATTCAAAACTCAAGGACCGCGGCCTCCTCGGCCTCCCACGCCATTTGTATTTTGAAATGTCCAACTCAAGAACCACGGCCTCCTCGGCCTCCTACGGGCAGCTACCGGTCCTTCGCATGCCCCGCCCCTTGCTAAGCCGTCACCTGAGATTGCCCAACCTCCCAAACGACCACCGACGTTGAAAGTTTAATTGACGTTGAAGGTTTCAAGGGCATAAAACGCAACCCTTACAGGCTGCGAACTCACCACGGGCCCAAGCGCCAAAAAAAGCGTATGTACGTTCTATTCGAGTTACCTTTGGAAATCGGGTTTTCAAAATGATTTTTCCCGAATAGAACCTACGTACGTTGTACCAAATTTTTGCAATTTCAATTTTTCAAAAAGAATCAGACCACCGCCGATTAGGACGGGAGGTATCTATGCTTGCAGGGGTCAGTCCCACTACAAATGTTGTAGAGTAGCTTGTGGCATTGTGTGACAAATGAGATATCGGATGAAATCTCATTCTGGCCAGGATCAGACGTTGAGTGTTTCTTCCCACCCGACCACTTTACTTTCCCACGAAAATAAGGGTTGCGCTCCACCACCTTACACCACTACCACCTCCACGTTCTTAGGCCGCGGTGGACGAATTGGCCTGCCGTGCAGATCAAAATTCATTTGAGTCAGAGGGGGCCTAAGTACAGGTAGGCGCGGCGAGTTCCCCATAATACTTCTTGGGGCTCTACCACCCGTACTTAAAGATGAAATTTATAAACACGGCGCCCCGTCACACGGTAGAATTGTTGTGCTTCATGTACCACCGGGGGCCAAATCTGGCATAGACGCATTGTACCCTTTTGGGGGGAATTCTTGGAAAATGATACCGCCCCCTGTACTCTTAAGTCACAAGTACCTTTCACAACTTGAAATTTGAGTCTCGTCGGGTAACGTGGTGGGGCCTGTCAACAAACGTCCAGCCCCAGTTGGAGGACCCGGCTGAAAACGAACATATTCGTACAAAAAAAAATAAAGTATTAAACGGGTAAATACCTAATGCGCTCAGGAAGGAGCGAGAGAGAAAAAAAAAAAAAAAAAAAAAACTTATTGTCGAAGGCGAAAGATTTATTCATATTTTGTAACTAGCGAACGGGGGGTCAAGGGGAGAAAGAGAGAGAGAGAGAGTAACTCCCTGCAAACTGCGTGCAGGGACCCGCGCATTTCACCACGTCTCTCTCTCTCTCTCTCTCTCTCTCTCTCTCTCTCTCTCTCTCTCTCTCTCTCTCTCTCTCTCTTTCTCTCTCTCTCTCTTTCTCTCTCTCTCTCTCNTCTCTCTCTCTCTCTCTCTCTCTCTCTCTCTCTCTCTCTCTCTCTCTCTCTCTCTCTCTCTCTCTCTCTCCACCCCCCCTCTCCTACAGTGTTGAAGTTGTGAATAAAAATAATAATTTACTGAAGATTGGTTTTTTTTTTTTTACAACTTCAACACCACGGGGAAGGCGGGGAAGGAGGGAGGGAGGGAGGGGGAGAGAGAGAGAGAGAGAGAGAGAGAGAGAGAGAATCTTCCCGCAAAATCGGGGAATATTCATTCCAAATTTTGATTTTTCTTTAGTGCGTGGAAATACGGACCAATGAATCCAGCGGTAGAAATGAGAAGACGCACCGACGAAAAATATAAGCTTAGAAAAAAGCAAAAAATAGTGCAAACAACATTCTTTTTTTCGAATTTTCGCCTGCATCTATCATACAGTATGGGACCCGAGTCCTGTATAGGCTTAGGAGTAGTTGTAGGTGGGTAGTGAAAGGTGAAATTGAAAAAAAAATAAAAGAATTGTTGTACAAGGCATTCAAGTGGGCATTCAGAAGGTCTGAATTAAATCCCACTTATGTACCTTTCTAGGCAAGCTTGGTGCCCGCCACCTATAGATAGGTCGTTGTTCCCCCCAAGCGGCATTGAGCAGTGACTGCTGATGTTCGTAGGGGGGGGGGACCGTAGGGGAGGCACAACAATTAACTGATCGGAGAAACTCGGTATTGATGCTGCCGGTTGATCCTTGCCCGGTATTGCCCACCTGCTATGGGTGCAATCCCCATCCCTCATTGGAGGCTTGACCACATATGTCCCTGCTACAGGGTTCCCCGTAATACTATAATAATAATAATAATTTTTTTTTTATTATTTTTTAAATCGTCATTGAGCTAACCAGCCCCATGTAATTCAGTAATATTCAAGTTGTCTCATGTGGATTCGAACTTGGGTATGTATTTCAACAGTTTTAGGGTGTACAAGCTGCGCTAGGCTCATTGGTAATACAAACAATTTTTATGTGAAAGTCATGTCGAAATTCACAACCAATCGAACACACATATGGGATCGGTCGGTGTTGGTGTTCGACCAAGCAGGCGTCTGTCTAGGTCAGAGGCCGCCATACCCAGACTATCCATGGCGGCTCACAGTGACCGCTTTCATCTAGCGAGTTGAAGCGGAGTTTAAGCAACTCTCTGGTTCAACATTATTGGTTTCGTTGTGTTGTGAGTGGGTGTTAAGCGTCGTGGTGTTCTATTGCTTTTTTACTCGTTGTCCTTTATACCTGGTATGAAGCCATGTCTGGAACACTGATTGTGTTGTTTCGTATAAAATTTTGGAGACTAGATTTTGTGTGTTGATGCTTTAGGCATCTTCTTCCTCGTCGATGATATAGACAACGGATGATGTTGTGTTGGAATTGGGCCAGCCTGTCAGGCCATAGGAAGTTTTCAAGTGGGTGAATGGAGTCGCACTTTTGTATGTCGTTCACGTCGTCTTGCTGTATTTCTTCGCTAGATGAAGGAAGTTGTGTCTCTTCATAGTACTTTACAACAGTTTACCGTCATCAATGTTGTTGTTGGAGTTTGTTTTTGGCGTCACATTGGACTACGTTTCACTTATTTTGGTCGGGTGCAATTGTC